GGACTGACGGAGGTAACACTAACAGTAGAACGTATTGCCCTCAATCCGAGTCAGCAACTGTACCGGACCCTGGAGTAAGGGTACGAGTATTGGACTGACGGAGGTAACACTAACAGTAGAACGTATTGCCCTCAATCCGAGTCAGCAACTGTACCGGACCCTGGAGTAAGGGTATGAGTATTGGACTGACGGAGGTAACACTAACAGTAGAACGTATTGCCCTCAATCCGAGTCAGCAACTGTACCGGACCCTGGAGTAAGGGTACGAGTATTGGACTGACGGAGGTAACACTAACAGTAGAACGTATTGCCCTCAATCCGAGTCAGCAACTGTACCGGACCCTGGAGTAAGGGTATGAGTATTGGACTGACGGAGGTAACACTAACAGTAGAACGTATTGCCCTCAATCCGAGTCAGCAACTGTACCGGACCCTGGAGTAAGGGTATGAGTATTGGACTGACGGAGGTAACACTAACAGTAGAACGTATTGCCCTCAATCCGAGTCAGCAACTGTACCGGACCCTGGAGTAAGGGTACGAGTATTGGACTGACGGAGGTAACACTAACAGTAGAACGTATTGCCCTCAATCCGAGTCAGCAACTGTACCGGACCCTGGAGTAAGGGTATGAGTATTGGACTGACGGAGGTAACACTAACAGTAGAACGTATTGCCCTCAATCCGAGTCAGCAACTGTACCGGACCCTGGAGTAAGGGTATGAGTATTGGACTGACGGAGGTAACACTAACAGTAGAACGTATTGCCCTCAATCCGAGTCAGCAACTGTACCGGACCCTGGAGTAAGGGTATGAGTATTGGACTGACGGAGGTAACACTAACAGTAGAACGTATTGCCCTCAATCCGAGTCAGCAACTGTACCGGACCCTGGAGTAAGGGTACGAGTATTGGACTGACGGAGGTAACACTAACAGTAGAACGTATTGCCCTCAATCCGAGTCAGCAACTGTACCGGACCCTGGAGTAAGGGTATGAGTATTGGACTGACGGAGGTAACACTAACAGTAGAACGTATTGCCCTCAATCCGAGTCAGCAACTGTACCGGACCCTGGAGTAAGGGTATGAGTATTGGACTGACGGAGGTAACACTAACAGTAGAACGTATTGCCCTCAATCCGAGTCAGCAACTGTACCGGACCCTGGAGTAAGGGTATGAGTATTGGACTGACGGAGGTAACACTAACAGTAGAACGTATTGCCCTCAATCCGAGTCAGCAACTGTACCGGACCCTGGAGTTAAGGTAAGAGTATTGGACTGACGGAGGTAACACTAATAGTAGAACGTATTACCCTCAAACCCAGTCAGCCACTGTACCGGACCCTGGAGTAAGGGTATGAGTATTGGACTGACGGTGGTTACACTAACAGTAGAATGTATTACCCTCAATCCGAGTCAGCCACTGTACCGGACCCTTGGAGTAAGGGTATGTGAGTATTGGGCTGACGGAGGTAACACTAACAGTAGAACGTATTGCCCTCAATCCCAGTCAGCCACTGTACCGGACCCTGGAGTAAGGGTATGAGAATTGGACTGACGGAGGTAACACTAACAGTAGAACGGATTGCCCTCAATACGAGTCAGCCACTGTACCGGACCCTGGAGTAAGGGTATGAGTATTGGACTGACGGTGGTAACACTAACAGTAGAACGTATTGTCCTCAATCCGAGTCAGCAACTGTACCGGACCCCGGAGTAAAGGTAAGAGTATTGGACTGACGGAGGTAACACTAATAGTAGAACGTATTACCCTCAAACCCAGTCAGCCACTGTACCGGACCCTTGGAGTAAGGGTATGTGAGTATTGGGCTGACGGAGGTAACACTAACAGTAGAACGTATTGCCTTCAATCCGAGTCAGCAACTGTACCGGACCCTGGAGGAAAGGTAAGAGTATTGGACTGACGGAGGTAACACTAACCGTAGAATCGTTACAGGTTGTGTGAAATAGTGGAAACCATATATATATACCGTGTCATACGTTTTTATCCTAACGGGATTTACTTCAAATTCTAGGTAAGTTTTGTTGAATTTTATAATTAAACAGTATATCTAGTTATATACTATTCGTAATTTCGTTATTGATGATACACGATGTGATAGGTCAATATCCAAACGTTAGGATTTAACAGTTTTGCCAAATATATGAATCGTATACGTTTCAGATATTAAGCTGAATCCATACTGTTTATTTTCCAGCTGGATATATAATGAATTTTGATCCAGCTGGATATAAACAGTTCATTTGCCCATGAGTCTAAACTGTGCTTTGTCATGCTGATTCTTTACTGCATCTTTATCCATTTACTTCTTTATATCATCTTACAAGTGTAATATAGCTGAATCTCAACTGTATCTTTGTCAAGTTTGGGCATTACCGAGACTTTTTTCGTGATACTTTTTAATCTATCTTTGTTTTTGCCACGGCAAAATAAACGGATGAAGATTTACTTATTTGTAAACTTGTATTCTTAATTAAGCTGCGTTAATAATTAACTATCGAAATAATTTTTGGACGGATGAAATATCTTATGGATCTTTTGAAATTATATTTGACATCTTTACTGACATTTCATATCGCACATCTATTATAATTAGCGGGAAAATGAAAAGTTTCATTCCTTCTAGAAAATAACGTTATCAGCTTGATTCATTATTGCTCGAAATATGTTAAGGTATGTTAATATTTTTTGTCTTCACCGTGGACAAAGTCACGTGACCACAGTGTCGCAAATTTATATACCCGCGAAGTATTGCTGAATGATACATCTATTCAAACTCTCATTAACGACACATTTAAATGTTATTGGAATCATCAGTTATCTGTTTCGCCCATGATTATCAACGAGTTAGGATTTGTACAAATGATGTATAGCCATAAATACCATCAAATTATGAAATGATGCAACACATTCCTCGTCTATAACGCACGGTATGACCTCAGAACTCGATTCCTAGGACGGCTGGTTAGCTTACATTTATTAAATCAAATTTACAGACTAAAAACAAACAACAACCTAAAGTTACATTATTACTTTGTGTGTGCTGGTTTAATTGAGTCTAACAGTTTGAATTTCAACATGTACATTGTTTTGTGATTTAAAAAAGAGCCGAAAAGCATTATGTTTAAATTTTGATAAATTGTTAGAAGCTAATCAGACTTCGAACTAGAGATTTTTTTGACAATCGTCGAGATTATGAATAGCTTACCCAAACATCGTTGTACATGAAGGACCATGGACAAGCTTGCATGTAAAACAGAGAATTACAAGGCACCACACGCCCCAGGTAACTTACACGGTGATACCATCTAGGAGGCTACACAATGGCAGTCATCAATAAAAAATCAAAATAACAACAAATTCGTCGTATTACTGAACACGAACAAACGGAGCACTTTCTATAACGCCGTGCTCACATCTCTGGCGTAAATAATGCATCCTAAATTCTATAGGGTGCACGTCTCATTTACAATACTCCAGCTTTGTTTCCAAGATCACAGTGAAAGCTGCAAAGCTTCAAACTGAATAACAACACAATGATTTTAGGACTGAAAGTGATACACGTACCACGTAACGGGGAGGAGGTCTGGAGTCGTGAGGGATAAACCGGAGGAGACATGGGAGGGTTAGGGTATTCTAGAAGGGTGATTTGGTTATATTTTGTTTGACGTCCTATTAACAGCTGAGGCCATTACAGGACGTGCCTTCATGTGTGTTGTGTAAGTGTGCATGTATCAGGTAAAAAAGGGTAAAAATGTGGCTATTTTAGTTTGTTTGTTTAGAGTTAAATGTTTTCACTGAAGCCAAGGTCATATGAAGGTGCCTAGGGAGTTAGGAGATGAGGTAGAGGAGATGGTTGTATACTTATGAAAGTCAGATTAAGATGTGTCTTCAAAATTGAACTAGAACTTAGCTTTGATTCTCTAAGTATGATTCAATCCAATTGGTCGCCTAACATTAGTTAGAGCGCCAGTTAAGAGTTTGGAGATACCGGGTCCGAATCCCGGTGTGGTCGTTGCAGTTTTTCATTCCTGATAAATTACACATTTCTTTATAAATGTTTAGCTCTCTATACTGTGTCTGTTCTAAACAGTTTTCATCATGTAACGTAAAAATGACAAACGGTTTCGACGAAACAGACTAGTTGATGAAACTAACACAGATCGTGTGTGTCATGTCTGTATTGCTGTCCCCAATACTATCTCTAAATGCCTGGCCATAGGCAAACTATTATCGATAACACTTCTATTGAACGAAGATATCGGCTTTGTCCGGCGCGGTTTATGTCCTCAAAACGGTTTGCCTACCTCCTTGTGTCATTTCAGAGTCGCCAGACGACAGGACAAGCACTTAGATTATTCTATTATGTTCGCCATAATTCTTCTTTACAAACGGAAGACAACTTGATTGTCAATGCGCATGCGTCAATCCTTTAGAAAAACGACTTCACAAACAAAATTAAAAGTCTTTTCAACATGTTTATCTTTCCTCAAATACAATATAACAAAACCATCAATTGAATTTCAAAGGATTATTATAGAATACTGTATTTAACTTTTTGGATAGATGTTGTTTGATTTATTACCTGGTTTTTACAACGAGACACGAAACGCATTGCTCACTTGTAGCCATACTATCAACGTATTTACACTGAACTCCAAGCTCGTGTTTGGTTCTAAACTTATCGTCAGCTTGTATTGTCCGGAACTAAAACGCCTTTTGTCGAGCGGATTGAGACGGCCTGTTTAATAGTTGTATAGAAAGGGCACAATACCACAGCATAATTGACTGAATCAGACAGGGGACATACAGTCTCATGTCAGCCCCGATACTCGTATTGACTATATAAACTCCCAAAGTCACTCAATTTTACAGCACAATGTGGTCTCTGCTTTATATAATACTTGAATAGAACGTTTGTATATATTATGCAGGGTATATTGAGTGTGTAACAGCCAGCCAGTAGTAGCTCACACTGATGGACGGGCTAGGATATACAGTGAACATGGTTGTTAGGAACTGGTCAGAAGATGCTAGCTTACAGGTGTTACGTACGTGATTAACCTACCGTAAAGGTAAGAAATGTAATTAGTGTCTCAGGTGATATGTTGGTGTATGTAATATACGGTACACTTGTACTTATCACACAGGCAGAGGCTTTATAAGATGACACTTGTATATAACACGTATTATCTACAAAGTACGACCGAATCGTTGAAACTAGTACATCTAAGTGACACAGAAGTCGAAAAATGGAACTGTTACGATTGAATTAGAATTGATGTCTGATATATGTATCCAATATTGCTTTATGATCGTTTGTTAGGGTTCAAAATATATGTCTTCATCAAACAGGTACACCTTTATTAATCGTATCATATAGGCTTTATAAGAGGACACTGGTAAAACCGTATTCTCCACAAAATTATGACCAAATTGCTGAAAATGTGTTTTTGACTGACACGGAAATCGGAATTGGAATACAATACAATCAGATTAACATTGACTATTTATCTAAGGTTGGTGTATGAAAGGGTTCGAAATAGGTGTCTTCATCAAATGTCCAGTAAATTAGCCTAAACACACAAGTCACCTTCGAGTATTTCATGTTGTAATAACTCCTGCATGTGTCCAAGCTTGCTACTTTTCTAATGTAACCGTATAAGACAGACCTCTTGTAACATATTATCACACTGCCGGTACTAGTGATACGCGAATGGGCTTTGTTTTCCATATATTTAACAATCTATGTAAACATTATTTTGTTTTCTCGTAATTGTTTATTTCTGTTGTGTGTGATAATAGAAGTTAAATCTCATATTACAATATATTAGTATGAGCTGATGTCCAGTTTATTAAAACGACCCGTCCATTTAGACGATAAGTCCAATAATCTTAATAGCCAATGATGTGTTCTAATACTTGTAATGTCTTCCGATACTTTTTAGTGAGTTCTAACAGCCAGTGTTGTGTTCTACTTTTCAGTTGTGTATTTTAATAGCCAATGATGTGTTCTAGTACTTGTAATGTCTTCTGATAGTTTTTAGTGAGTTATAACAGCCAGTGTTGTGTTCTACTATTCAGTTGTGTGTTTTAATAGCCAGTGACGTGTTCTACTTTTCGGTTGTGTATTTTGATAGCCAATGATGTGTTCTAATACTTGTAATGTCTTCCGATAGTTTTTAGTGAGTTCTAACAGCCAGTGTTGTGTTCTACTATTCAGTTGTGTGTTTTAATAGCCAGTGACGTGTTCTACTTTTCAGTTGTGTATTTTGATAGCCAATGATGTGTTCTAATACTTGTAATGTCTTCCGATAGTTTTTAGTGAGTTCTAACAGCCAGTGTTGTGTTCTACTATTCAGTTGTGTGTTTTAGTAGCCAGTGACGTGTTCTACTTTTCAGTTGTGTGTTTTAATAGCCAATGATGTGTTCTAATACTTGTAATGTCTTCCGATAGTTTTTAGTGAGTTCTAACAGCCAGTGTTGTGTTCTACTATTCAGTTGTGTGTTTTAATAGCCAGTGACGTGTTCTACTTTTCAGTTGTGTGTTTTAATAGCCAGTGATGTGTTCTAATATTCAGTTTTGTGTTTTAATAGCCAGTGACGTGTTCTACTTTTCAGCTGTGTGTTTTAATAGCAAGTGACGTGTTCTACTATTCAGTTGTGTGTTTTAATAGCCAGTGGCGTGTTCTACTATTCAGTTGTGTGTTTTAATAGCCAGTGTTGTGTTCTATTATTCAGTCGTGTGTTTTAATAGCCAGTGGCGTGTTCTACTATTCAGTTGTGTGTTTTAATGGCCAGTGTTGTGTTCTACTATTCAATCGTGTGTTTTAATGGCCAGTGTTGTGTTCTACTATTCAGTCGTGTGTTTTAAGAGCCAGTGGCGTGTTCTACTATACAGTTGTGTGTTATAATAGCCAGTGATGTGTTATAATACTTGTAATATCTTCCGATAATTTTTAGTCAGTTCTAACAGCCAGTGACGTGTTCTACTACTCAATTGTGTGATTTAATAGCCAGTGATGTGTTCTTATATTCAGTTGTGTGTTTTAATAGCCAGTGATGTGTTCTACTATTCAGTCGTGTGTTATAGTAGCCAGTGATGTGCTCTTATATTCAGTTGTGTTTTCTATTAGCAGGTGATATGTTGTAACTTTTCGTTTGTGTTCTTATATCCGGTGATGTGTTCTACTATTCAGTTGTATGCTCTAGAAGCCAGTAATGTTTTCTATTGCTGACTGATATTAGACTATATTTGATTTTCTGATATTTATAACGAGGGAAACTAATATTAGGGGAGTTTTGTGCGAATATTGAAGTTATAAACACATCACAAACTGTCAACATGTTCTTGGACCTTAACTTTAAACACTTACTCAATACGTATACTACCTATAATACAAACAATTACAGTCATTTACTGGAGTTTGTTGACAATATTGTATATATACATGTACTTTAAATAATTGACATTCCAAACTAATATAAATTGAATATAAAGGTTTTCCTGACAATATCACGTCACCGCTTAATGTCTCTGTTGAATCGACAGTACACTGCTACACTGACGTTAAATACATTTAGCACATGCGACAAATCAATTTTTGATTGAAAGAGATCACGATCGATTCCGGATTCCGGATACCGGGTTTAGATCCGCTTTTCATAAAATTAGTTTTTTGATCTCCGAAACACCTTGTGTTAATGACTCTTTCCCCTGAAACCAATCTGAAATCCGTATCAGTATACAGACGATTTCAAAGGCTACCACCACGGTTGGTTTGAGAGCAAACAATACGGCTTCTGGTATTGAATACAAGTTGCATTTGGATATCATTTTCAGTTCTAAAAACCTTCATAGAAATGATAGCTTTTTATATAAAGCAGTATAATAAAAGAATATTGAACGGTCGGCCTTACCGCAGAGTTGATTAGTAGCATACATTGATTGTGTGCGCACGAGAGTTTAGATATATACCTAGCTCGGTCTGAACATGTCGTCAGAAAGGAAATCATCGATCAAATCGTCACTGATGACGACGATGACGACGATGGCGATTGTTTGATGACTGATGGCAACTTTGATGTCTTTTTTATCAGACAAAAGATCATGGTGTCAGATTAGCGATATAATTACTATTGATACCAGGCCTTTTTTTACATGACAGATGATAAATAGGACGACGCCAACGGTTCATACGATGACAGATGATCTTGTTGGCTTTGTAATGTGTTTATAAACTGTCAATGACTTTGTCGATTTTGATGACATTGTGACGATTCAGATAAATCGTCATTATACATTAAATGCCCTTTCTACTTTGTGAAACTTAATTAACCTCGGAGAAACAAAGAATCGTGTTTCCCTACTTCAAGGGTATACATAATTAGGGCCCCGTATCGGAGATACGGGTGCCCTATAGTAATCACTATGTCTGTCTGTCTGTCTGTCTGTCTGTCCGTCCGTCCACAAATTTTGTTCCTGGCTGATAACTTCGGTATTTATTGACCGATGTACATGAAACTTGGTCAAGAGGTTCAGTTCATAAAAATACACATTGAGGTAAAAAGTCAAGGTCAAAGATCAAGGTCATTAGGTTCAAAGGTCAAGGTCAAATTTGACATATTTTCACAGATGAACATTTTGTCATGACATTATGAAGCAAAGCTGATCAGAATTAAACAAGGAGTCAACTGTCCAAAGGTCAAGGTCATCGGGTCAGGGGTCAAGGTCAAATTTTGTAGCTTTTCACTAGTGAACATTTCGCTATGACATTATGAAGCAAAGTTGTTCGGAATTAAACGAAGAGACACACTGAGGTAAAAAGTTGAGGTCATAGGTCAAGGTCATGAGATTCAAAGGTCAAGTTCAAATTTTGCATCTTTTCACTGATGAACATTTTGTTATGACATGATGAAGCAAAGTTGATCAGAATTAAACAACGAGTCAACTGACCAAAGGTCAAGGTCATCGGGTAAGGGGTCAAGGTCAAATTTTGTAGCTTTTCACTAGTGAACATTTCGCTATGACATTATGAAGCAATGCTGTTCAGAACTTACCACAGAGTCAACTGACCTTAGTTCCAGTTTACTGGGTCCAAAGGTGGTATATAAGGTGAAATAAAACAAATCAAATCTAACAAATGAGTATTGCACTGGTAATTACATTTCTGTTAGCCAAGCAAATATGGAGGTGGAAGGAAACACATCACATCATAGTACATGTAAAATATATATTTTGCTTCCTTGCGATTCTTTTTGAAGTCCAAATGTCAAACGTCAAGCTCAGCTATATGGGTAGATTGCTTCTTGATGATTATGGGGACATAATTGCCGCAAGACGGGGCCCTTACTGACCTGTCAGTGTTCTAGTTTATTATGAATGCTCCACGAGTCTTTGTTCCTTGAGACATGGCAATGTTTCATGAGACTTTGAAATGTTCCATGATACTTTGAAATGTTTCATGAGACTTCGAAATATTTCATGAGACTTTGAAATGTCCCATGATATTTTGGAAATGTTCCATGATAATTTGAAATGTTTCATGAGACTTTGAAATGTTCCATGAAACTTTGAAATGTTCCATGAGACATTGAAATGTTCCATGATACTTTGCAATGTGTTACTGATCCGGAATTATCTACGACAGTCGTGTGTTACTGATCCGGACGTAATCACGTCATTCGTGTGTTACTGATCCGGACGTAACTACGTCAGTCGTGTGTTACTGATCTGGACGTCATCACGTCAGTCGTGTGTTACTGATCCGGGCGTTACTACGTCATTCGTGTGTTACTGATCCGGACGTAACTACGTCAGTCGTGTGTTACTGATCCGGACGTTACCACGTCATTCGTGTGTTACTGATCCGGACGTATCTACGTCAGTCGTGTGTTACTGATCCGGACGTAATAACGTCATTCGTGTGTTACTGATCCGGACGTATCTACGTCAGTCGTGTGTTACTGATCCGGACGGAACTACGTCAGTCGTGTGTTACTGATCCGGACATAATCACATCAGTCGTGTGTTACTCATCCGGACGTAACTACGTCAGTCGTGTGTTACTGATCC